GATGTGTGGATTTGTCTCCTCTCTTTGTCTGTCACTCTGTCCCCTGAAGAGTTAGGAGGGCATTCATAGGAGTAGGAGAGGTATTTAAATCATGTGTGTGAGTGTTAGTATGTGTGTCTGGATCAGTTGGAGGTACAGGGGACAGATTTACACCCCATGTCCAGCAGAGATGAAGGCCATTTCCCAGGCAGGCCGTTTCTCTCTGTGTTCCTGTGGGGGCCTGGCTATCTGGCGTTGGTCCAGTTCAATTTCTTCAGAGCCCAGAGGCGTTTTCTTTCACCTATATCCTTTCTTTTCGCCGCCAACGAAGAACCTGCTTTCATATTCTCTTCCTCTTTAACTCCCTAGCCGACTCTCAACCGAATCACTTTCTGTCTCTCTGCAAAGTGCTGCATCTTTATCTTTCCCCTGCCCTTTGTCCCCTACAGCTGAGATATCTAACCTCTTAGAGCGTCCATCACTCAGCCCCTGTCTCCCCTGCTGTCTCTCCCTCAAACAGTAGCACCGCTTTTTTATTATTTTCTTTTTTGAATGAGCATGTAATCTTCCTCCTCGCACTCGATGAGTCTCACAAGTGGATCATCTGGTGAGAAACGCTGCCACCTTGTATGGCTTGACTCAAAATAGGTTGCATGACATTTATGTATGTGAGATATGTGCTTTCCATTTGCACAGAATATGACTTGAAGATGATCTTCAATGATCCTGAGCCAATATCGTTATTCTATTTCATACAGTGTAAAACGGCCGACCACATTTATGAATCTGCAGTCCAAAATTGAAAAACATTCTACGAAGACAACGTAAAACAACAAAACCACCACAAAGAAATCACTTTGCGAAGTCTTTGAAGTCGAGGTTAAGTTATTTTTGATAGTCTTATTATAGAAAATGTGATTTGCAGCCAGGTTTTAAAACAGTATATTAACAAGACAATAAGGCAGCAGAGAGAAAACTGTAAGACAATAAAACTAAATGTAAACTGCTGTGAGGCAGTAAAAATACTAAAAC